GAAAACCATCCCTTTTATAATTGAAACAAAAAAATCAAATACTGGGAATAAACCTAACAACAGAGGTGAAGGATCTATACAAAGAAAATTTTAAAACACTGTGAAAAGAAATAGAAGAAGACACAAGGAAATGGAAAGAATCCCTTGCTCATGGATTGGAAGAATCAGCATTATTAACATGGCCATCCTACCAAAAGCAATTGACAGATTCAATACTATTCCAATAAAAAATCTCAATGACATTCTTCAAAGAATTAGAACATATATTGATGAAATTCATATGGAACCACAAAAAACCGTGAATAGCCAAAGCCCTACTGACAAAAACAAAGGAGAAAGGAGGTATCACACTTCCAAACTTCAAGCTATATTACAAAGCCTTAATAATTAAAACAGTTGGTATTGGAACAAAAACAGACACACAGACCAATGGAACCAAATAGAGAGCCCAGAAATAAAGCCTCATTTATATTTACAACTAATCTTTGACAAAGGAGCAAAGAATATGTAATTGAACATGGACAGTTTGTTCACTAAATGGTGCTGGGAAAACTGGACCACCACATGCAAAAAAGTAAAACTGGACCACTATCTCTCACTGTGCACAAAAATCAATTCAAAATGGATAAAAGAACTGTACATAAGACCTGAAACCATAAAATATATAGAAGAAAATATAGGTAAAACACTAGAAGACATAAATGTCTCACTCCTTTTTAATTCTGGGATCTCTTAGAGTCCACCTGTACTATTGGTACAAACGAAGGCCAGTTGCTGCTCTACCAGTTCTGTTCCCAGTCTGCTGGTTCCAAGTCCACTCCCCCGCCACAACCTAGCTAGCATCCTCACCCTTATTGGTGCTTCAGCATCTTCAGTGGGTCTCTTTCTCTTCAGGGGCTGAATTGCTTTCTTGGAATGTCTCTTTGCAACCCTTTTGCAACCATGTGGAAAATCATTAGATTATTGATCTGACTCTATCTTAGATCTCAGGTGAGCTAAGAGGTGCTTCAAAAAGTCTTTTCTGCATATACCCTCCCTTCATTATATTCAAAGAAAAAAAATCTATCACATTTCAGCATGAGTATTTTGTATTCTTCACCTAGAAGCTGCTGGCAATTCCTGCTGCTTATTGACTTAGACTCAGGGACTCAACTTGCCATCAAATCTTGGTAGTCTTTTAGTCTTATCATACCACTCTCCCCCATTTATTTTTTCAAAACTTGTCCACAGTTACTCAAGTCAGCAAGATGTGGGTGGGAATGGGATTGTCTTCCTTAACCAATTACAAGTAATCTAATTAGTAGAATGAGAGAATTTGGGAAACAAAATAAGCTATTTATACCACACTACTTGTAGTAGATGAGGAAGCTTGGTTTATGGGGAAGCTAAGACTCAGAGGGGTACGTGTACCCTCAGATCACACAAGTGGGAGACAGAAGTGAGACTTCCTCAGGTTTCCTGATTTAAGCTATGGAAAGGAAGGGTGACTACCATGTATATGTCAGTGAGCAAAGAAGGTCAGTTACTTAGGGATATGGCTTCTCTTCAAAGTGGTTGTTGACTGAGCTAATATGAAAGCCAGGAACCATATCTACGTGGAGAGATGGTCAAAGTTAACTATCTGGGCCAAAAGATTCATAAGGCATCTAGTCACATCAAGAACCCTACAGATCCTTAAGCCCCTATGAACCTTTGGCATTAAGAGAGAGAATCATAGAAAAGGTAGGGTCCAGGTGTTGGACTCATACACATTAGGATTCTAGCATAGACTAGGGTTCTAGACATGTTTCCCAGTAAACTTTAGTTTCTTCATGTACAAAATGAATATAACAACTATCTCAGTGCTGTTCAGTTTTCAGTGACTGGTAAATAATAGATACTTAAATATGGGGGCCTCTGAAGCTATATGTTGTAAACTCTGAGGGTGACTATGGGACTTGACTTTGGATGCATACTAGAATCTTTGTGCATTCAGTGGAAGGGTGTGTAGTTTGGTTTGTGTGTGTGTGCATGCATGTGTATGTGTTTTGGGAGAGAGAATGATTTATTCACAGGGGAGGATATCACAAACACTGGGTCCACTAGGAGTCTGGGCTCTGCATCTTGCATGAAAGCCACTTCAGCAGGTGGGAATTTAAAGCAGACCTTAAATTATATATAGATACAGAATAAGTCCAAATCCTGAGAAAGTATTTTAGTGATCCATGGGGCATGTGCTAAGCCTGGTTCTTCCTGGTAGGTAGGTGGTAAATGTGAGCTAGCATCCCAGATACGGAAGATGAAAGTGCATGATTCATTCAAGAGGTTACTCACAAGGACACTCATTGTAAAGGACTTTATGAAATTCAGCATACAAAAAGGACAATAGATAAACATATCCCAGTGAAGAAAGAAGAGAAATGAGTCCAAAATACAAGCAGCTCTTTCCCATCATCATGTTCTTGAATATTGAGAAGAAGTGGCACCATATGATGGTCAATGCTGAGCATTCTTAGTCCTCAACAAGTGCCAATCTTCCTGCTACTATTCCTGGAGTAAAAAGATATGCCCTGTTGACAGATGTGGAGCTGACTTGGCCAATTGAGACGTGTCTTCTTGGATTGAGTTGAAGTGGCATCAAGAGCCATCCAGGACACCAAACCACTTACAACTTTAATTCTACTCCTTCACATGGGAATGAATGATACTTAGTGTTACAGAGCCATCTCCATAAAATGGGGAGGTACCATGTTTCCCATCCCACTTAACAATGGGTGAAGCTGAACAGCCAGGAAGGCCGGTGGGCTAAGGAAGAGTACTCTTGCTTCTATGCTTATGCTTGGTACTGCTGGGAAGAAGACATAGAAAGAGACACAAGGAGGAGACATACAGAGACACTTGAAAGAGACACATGGGTGAGGGACATGTGGGGAGGCTGACAACAGCAGCCTTTATCTTAGTGTGTGTAGTACCAGCAAGGCACAGAGCAGATTCTCTATGATCGGAGCAGACAGGTAAAGGAGAGTCCTGGAGCCCTTGGTGACTTTTCCAGGCTTTTCTTGAGCTTTTTACATCATATGTAGTGCAGCGCCCAGGTACACGGCAGGCCTCCCAGCCCCTCGCGAGTCTTCACTCTTTCTTGGCTCTCTAGCATTCTCTTGTAGGCTCTTCTCTGCTCTTCTGCTGAAGTTGCTGTTTCTGTTCTCATTCTCCTTTCTGCTACTCTTCTGGTTCCACTCTTGCTCTTTGCTGCTTCCACCACTGCTGGTGTCCCGGTGATTCCACCCTTATAAGCCCAGTCTCTCAGCCCTGGTGGACCCACTTACACATGCCCACACCATACTATAGGTGTCCACCATTAGGCATGTGCGCAAGCCCATGGGTATCTATCATTAATACTAATGGCAGGAGGGTGGAAAATCATGATAATTTTCATTTACCCTACAATGTGTTATCTCCTTTTGTCCCAGTTTTCTGGGACCTTTTCAGCACCCCTTCCCTATGATTCTCCACCAGAAGGTGCAACCTTGTTGCCAAAAAAAAAAAATAAAATAAAAACCTTGTGACAAGCTTATGGGCCTCATTGGCCCTGCTTCATGCTGACCCTGTCTGCCTGGGCATTTGCCCATGAGGGGATTGGTAATTTTCTGATTTATTGGGAAAAATATCCTCTCTTCTCTTCCCTCTTTATGCACACTAATTTTATTAAAGTTCTTTCACACTAGAAACACTGGTGTAGGGTAAGTAAAAAGCATCAGGCTTTTCCATGCTACCGCCATTAGATTAAATGCATGCCTGATGGTGGACACCTGGAGTAGGGTGTGGGCATGCATAGGTGGGTACACCTGGGCTGAGACAGGCTTATAAGAACAACAGACAAGAGCAGCACCAGCAGAGAAGCAGAGAGGCCATGAGAGATTGCTGGAGAGCCTAAAAAGAGTGAAGATTCGCAAAGGGCTAGGAGGCCTGCCAACCTCCTGCACCCCTGGCACCCCTGCCTGCTGTGTACCTGGTAAAATGTCAAATAAAGCCTAAAAAAGCCACAGAGGGCTACAGGACTCTGTCCTACACCCGTCTGCTTAGATCATAGAGGACCTACTCCGGCCTTCCTGCTCTGTTTTATATTCACCTCACCCCACCACAAGTCCACCCCCCAAAAAGAAAAAAAAAAATAAGGCAGACTTGTTAGGATGTGGCTCGGTTTCATTGCCTTCATCCCCAGTAGTGGGTATGTTGGCGTTGAGCCTTCAGGTAGAACATGCTACTGCTAGGGACTGGAAACATATCCTATCTTTTTCTGCTGACCTCCCTTACTCCCCACTACTTAGCCAGGAGGCTCAAGAAACTTAATGGAGTCTCAGCTGAGGTACTTATCCTGTTTCCACCTTCATTCCCACTCAACCTATGTAAGTAGTAAGGTGAAATATGATTTTGGCTCTAGTCAGGGCTGGGGAAAAAGCATCTCAACCCCAGGAACAACACAGCATTGGGGTGTATAGCAGTACCTTTTCTGTCTCCTCCAACATTCTTTTTTTGGGATATTGTACATGGGACTCCACCTGAAAGGTGTGAGTATTATTCCTAGTTGCTTAAGATAAAGGAGCAACCCAAGAGTGTGGTAGAGAGAGGGAGGTGGAAGAATGCACTGGATTTGAATGGGTTTGGAGTAAATAGAGATGACTGTTACTCACTAGCAGAAATTTCATTTCTCTAACTCTTGCTTTCACAATCTGTAAAATGGGCCTAATTGTAATTATAAGATTATTGTGAAAACGAAAGGAAATAATGGATATAAAGTTATTATTGTGCAGTAGTGCTCATAAGTAGTAGATCCATTCGCTACCTCAGCAGAAAGTTGCTAACATCACTTTTTGACTGTTATCCAAGTGTGTCTTCTTGCCAGATCCTGGGTACCTTATGTCCTTTAAAGTCAGAGAACATGTTGGCTCCACTTTTGTGTCCTCTGTGCCTGGCACAGAGTAGGCATTCAAATAGTAGTTGTTCTGTGTTTTCTCTTCCAGGTGGTGAAGACTATTGGCCTGAGGGAAGTCTGGTTCTTTGGTCTGCAATACCAAGATACTAAGGGTTTCTCCACTTGGCTGAAACTCAATAAGAAGGTAACTGCTTACTTTCCTGTTGGGTTTGCAATTCTTTATTCTACCAGTTCTTGCTTAGGGAGGTAGCAAGTGCTAGCTGAGAAAATCAGGGTGCCTAGGGCTATGTTTTACACTGGGCAATTTGTTAATCACTGAATCAGATTTATAGCAGAGGACTCAGCCAAGGCAAAACCTTTCCTGTGTTTCCACTTTGACTTCTAACAGTGAGAATGGCCAGTGTTGATGAAGAAGGAACTCTTCCCTTCCTACTAGGTGCTCTGACTTGAATTTAGACCACAACAATTAGTGGTTCTTCAAGAGAGGTCAACTCATGCCTGAATCCCATACAGATGCTTCCCTCTTTCTTGACTTTTTACTTAATTGAACTTCAAATGGGAGATACAAATATAGGTCTTCTTACACTGTCCATCCCTGAGGGGCATCTCTGCAGGAACATGGCCGTCCTCTATTTCAGTATTCTCAAACTGGCAGACTTTGTCCTTGGAGCTCACTGTACTGTCCTATGACTTGTTTCCTTGATTGTGTCTAAGGGATGGATCCCCACCTTCTGCTGGAAGTCTGGTTTTCCCAAAGAGTAGAGAGACTTGCTGGACAAATGTAGAAATGTCAAGAGTTAATTTCTGGCTTTAAAAGGCAATCTAGCTTGTGCTCTTGTCTAACCAATTCCCAGGCCTTGTTTGTACATCCTGTTCTTTACTTTGCTAATATTATGAAGTTGGGGGAACCTTACAATTGGCACTTTCCTAAGCTTACACTCAGAATTAGTGGGGAGCTGGACATATTGCCAGATGATAGTCACTTGAGAGTTTATGACCCTTAGTAAGTGATAGGTCACTTGAGGAAGAAATCCCCAACAGGAAATGATTATGTACAAAGGATTAGGTCCCTAATCAAAGTAATGTCTCTTCTGAATTACCAGGAAAGTTGCCACCTAACTTTTTGGGATTTCCCCAAATTGATGACCTTTCAATGTCTTTTCCCTACCCTACAATCACTCCCTGACCCCCAAAGCCTGGTTTTTGAAAGCCCATGACTTCTTGACACTCCTAGGTGACTGCCCAGGATGTACGTAAGGAAAGTCCCCTGCTCTTCAAGTTTCGGGCCAAGTTCTACCCTGAAGATGTATCTGAGGAATTGATCCAGGATATCACACAGCGCCTGTTCTTCCTGCAAGTGAAGGAGGGGATTCTCAATGATGACATTTACTGTCCACCTGAGACTGCCGTTCTGCTGGCCTCCTATGCTGTCCAGTCCAAGTATGGTGATTTCAATAAGGAGGTGCACAAGTCTGGCTATTTGGCTGGGGACAAGTTACTGCCACAGAGGTAAGGTGGTGTCCTTACCTGCATCTGCATTGGTCAAAGAGGGCTGCAGACTAAGATTGACTGATCCCCATTACATAGTGACTATCAGCGCTGTTGCTGTCCACTGAGGTCTGCCTGAAGACCTTGTTGTGCACCTCATAAACACCCATTTATTTATGGCATCAAACTGTTGTTTCTCTGACTCTCAAAAAGCCTTCCCTGTTGGCCTGATTACAGAACTTCATTACCATGGAAATTGATGATTATATAGAGAACTGGGCATGGGTTGATTTCCCTTCCCCCAATTCCATTTTATCTAGCCTTTCACAGGGAAAAGAGATAAATGTACAAGCCAATGGAGCTCAAACAAGTTTTAATATTGATAAGTTACGTACAAAGATTTCTGCTTTTGTAAACTTCAAAGTTGAATGCTCTCTCATACTCATTATTTTTATTTCAGCATCACAGTAAAACACAAAATGAATAAGGCAGACATTATCCTTTTTCCCGCCTAAGGAAATAGAGTCATGGAGAGATTCGTGCTCTGATTTACCCCATGGCTCATTTGAGGCAGAGCCAGACCTGGATGGACCTTTAGTCTCTTGACTAAGGATAACCTGGGTTTTGTCCCATTGTATCCAGTGGCTATTTTCATAGACTTTTGAATTGAAGGGAGGAGCTCCACTTCATTCTGGGGTCCTCAGTCCTTCTGGAGCTGTGACATATGCAAAACTCACTTGCTTGCATTAGGGATAGTGGTTGTACCCTGGGACTCTGCCGGAAGTCATTGCTGTTATGTTTGAGATAGCATATGTAAAACAAGCCTCATTTATGATCTAGTAGATCTAAGAGTGTGAACCTGTTAGTTTCTTTCAAATCCATTTGGGCATAGTTCTCTGTTCTCTAGCCACAGGCTGTCATCTCATCCCTGAACAAGATTCTCACAAACATAAACTGTTAGTCTCACAAGAACCTGAGAGAGTGTGCATACCTCCATGAGACTTATCCACAAATCAGGAGATTTCTCATTCATTACTGCTTTGCTCTAGCATAGCAAATTATTGAATACGAAGGAAGGTGTTGCCATTGTCTTTCTGGATCACCTATTCTTGTATCATTCCTACCTCTCAGGTAATTCCCCTACATCTAAGTAATACCTCCTGCTGTAATTTCAGTCAGCTTCTTCTGTGAACTCAGTGGACTGAGTCCACATCCTCTTTGCATAATTCCCTTAAAAAACTAAGTGATCTTCCTTCTCCCCAGCATTTGGGCTTTTTGTTTTAAGTTATTCATTATCCATTTTCTTTCCAGGGTCCTGGAGCAGCACAAACTCAACAAGGACCAGTGGGAGGAGCGGATCCAGGTGTGGCATGAGGAACACAGGGGCATGCTCAGGTAAGCCTGTTCTAACAACTGTGATCCCACTGTCCCTGTGGGGGAGAATGAGAGTAGGTTTTGGTGGGAGAAAAGACAGAGAAGAAGGGAGGCTAAAGAATTTTGGAGAGAAAAGTACAGGAATGCAGTTTAATGTGGCAAATGAAGAAATAAGATAAATTAGAATCATTGTAATGCCATCTCTCTCTCTCTCTCTCTCTCTCTCTCTCTCTCTCATACACACACACACACACAGAGAGAGAGAGAGAGGGATTTATTGATTGATGGCAATTGATAGCCCTAACAATTCTGACCATAAAGAAATGGAGGAGACCTCAGAATCCCTAGGGAGCATATGGGCCACCAGGAACTCATCCTATGAAAAAAAAATGGGGAAAGAATTAAGACAGTAATTGACAAATCATCTGTGGGTGATGTAGTGGAGCAACAAGTCTCATTTTCCTATCATCACCCCATTTGGACTCTGTATATGCCTGTATAAGATACTATCAGAATGAGCAGGCAGAAGAAAGTTGCTGCTATGGTACCTAACCTGACCAAAGGTCAGCCTACCCTTATTCTGCCTATTTACAATAGCCAGAAATGCAGACTTTAGGCTCCTATTAGCAAGATTTGCTTGGCAAAAGTGATATTGTGCTGTGTTTGCCATCTGCTCACCTTCCAACTCCTTACCCACTCCTAACTTTCTAGCTCAGAGTCTGATTCACAGGTTCTACACTGTAACCCCTCCCTCTGTTGTTTAGGGAGGATGCTGTCCTAGAGTATCTGAAGATTGCCCAAGACCTGGAAATGTATGGTGTAAACTACTTTAGCATCAAGAACAAGAAAGGTTCAGAGCTGTGGCTGGGGGTGGATGCCCTGGGTCTCAACATCTATGAGCAGAACGACAGGTATAACTCAGAGCTCTCTTAGCTCTCTTATGTGGGATACTTTGACATTTGGGACTCTTTCCTTACCATAGGGTAGGACTCCTGGGCCCTAACTGAGTAATTCTTGTCTATTCGTTTCGTACAGCCTAGGCGATTGCATAACTTCCCTTAGACCTCTGACTCTTGCATTGACTAGACTTCACTGTCCACTCTGGCAGCCACTGGCCACAAATGGGTATTGAGCAGTTAAAATGTGCCTACTCTGAATTGAGATGTGCTGTAAATGGAAACTACACATCAGATTTGAAGACTTAGTATGAAAAATAATGTAAAATATCTCAATATTTTTCAGTAATGTAAAATATTTCAATATTTTAGAAAATATCTCAATATTTTCAATATCTCAATATTGATTTACAAGTTCAAATGATAGTATTTTAGATATACTGGGTTAAATAAACTTATTACACTTAAATGCTCCTATTTTATCTATTTCCATATGGCTTCTAGAAAATTGAAAATTATATAATATGGCTGTCATTGTATTTCTGTTGGACTGCACTGATCTAGAACCTACCTTGTCGGATTTGTAATAGTCCCATTCCCTTATGATGATTAAGTACCTTTGGCCTCTATTTCCTCTTAGTACAGCCTTGTCTCACAAAATTTTATTCTTGGTTTGCTCTTGGTGAGGATCAATAGATTATTGTTCTGTGAAACTTTCTGGATCTTAGAACTCATTATTGTCTTCTCTTCAACTTTTTAAATCTTGGGTGGAAGAGTCCCTATGAAGTAGGTTTGGACACTATTTACAATTGCTAGAAACTGTAAGCAACCTAAATGCCCATTGATTTGGTAAGTGGATAAAGAAGATAAAAGAGGCAATAACCAAAACAAAGAGAAACCCCACCAACTGGGAGAACATTTTTGCACACAACACTAGTGATAAAGGACTGATCACAAAAAATCTACAAAGAACTGATGAGACTCAACAAAAACAAAGAAAATAATCCAGTCAAAAAATGGGCAGAAGAGCTAAAAAGAAACTTCTCTGAAGAAGAAATGCAAATGGTCAACAGGCATATGAAAAAATGTTCAACATCACTTGTAATCAGGGAAATGCAAATCAAAACTACAATGAGATACCATCTCACACCAGTGAGAATGGCACATATTAAAAAAACTAGTAACAACAAATGTTGGCGAGGTTGTGGAGAAAAAGGTGCTCTCCTGCACTGCTGGTGGGAGTGCAAACTTGTCCAACCACTATGGAGAGCTGTGTGGAGATTTCTTGAACTACTAAACATAGAGCTTCCATATGATCCAGCAATTCCACTCCTAGGTATTTACCCAAATGACACAGAAACAGTAATTCCAAAGGGTACCTGCACCCCTATGTTTATAGCAGCACAATTTACAATAGCTAAGAAATGGAAGCAACCCAAATGCCCAAAAATAGATGACTGGATCAAGAAGATGTGGTACATATACACAGTGGAATATTACTCAGCAATCAAAAAAGATAAACACATGCAGTTTGCAGCAACATGGATGGAGCTGGAAGGGATCATGCTCAGTGAAATAAGTCAGAAAGAAAAAGAAAAATACCGGATGGTCTCACTCATAGCAGGAATTTAGAAAACCTAAATAAGAGACCAGGAAAAAGACTAATCAATACAAAGTGAAAATCACAATCAACAAGCAACTATAAACCAGAGACACACTGGGGGTGGGTGTGAGGAGGAAGGATTAGTGTCAGAATAAGAGGGGGTACAATTGTATGGGGAATATAACCAAAATGAAAATGCATGCATTTTGCAAAGATGAAAAAAGATCTAAGAATCATATAAAATAAAATATTTAAAATAAAAAAGATGTGGGATGTTTACACATTAGAACATTATTCAACCATAAAAAGACATAACCCTTCCATTTGCAACAATATAGGTAAATCTAGAGGGAATTATGCTTAGTGAAATAAGCTAGAAAGAGAACGACAAGCCCCATAAGAGTTAACTTATGTAATATGTAAAGAAAACAAACAGGTAAACTATTGATAAATAAAACAAAAATAAACTTTTGGACTATATGACCAATTAGTGGTTATCAGAATGGAAGGGTGGTGGGGGTAAATCACGTAAATGGGGACAATGATATAGTAAAGGGTAGATTAGGATTTTTAGTGGTAAACTTAATGTAGTACATACATATACTGATTCTCATTCACAAGCAACTGGAACTTATGTTATAATGCAATTAAAATAAATAATGAATAGGGATTGAGATACTATTTAATTTTTTAATTTCATTTTTATATTTTATTTTTTTATTGAGATGACATTAAATGCTATTTAGGTTTCAAGTATACAGTTTTTTTTTTTTTTTTTTTTTTTTTTTACCTCAGCAACTGTATATATCAGACCATGCCAAATGTATAGTCAGCATCTACTGATATGCTCCCACTATCTGGTAATCAGAGACTGTTATCAGAGACTAAGGATTTGTGTTTGGTTTTGTTCTATTTGTTTGATGCTTTTTTTCTTTGTATTCCACAAATCAATGGAATCATGATATTTGTCTTTCTTCTTCAGACTTATATTTTCACTTAGCATAATCCCCCCAAGGTCTTTCCATGTTGTCTCAAATGGTAAAATTGCATATTGTTTTATGGCTGAGTAGTGTTCCATTGTGTTCATATACCACATCTTCTCAATACATTCATATGGCATCAGGCATTTCAGTCATTTCCTTATCTTTGCTATCATGAATAGTACTGTAATGAAAATAAGAACTGTACATTCTTGTGAGAGATTGATACAAGGTCCATACTTCAAACAAAAATACAGCAAAACAAACTTCAGAGATTGGGACAATGAATAATGTGTTGTTTGTGAAATCAGGAGGTCCTTTGTGCAACCTCAATGCTGGCAACTAACCTGGTGGCCTATAATCACACTGGCTGAGCTGGCAGTAATCATACTGGCTGAGCTCCTTAAGGGAAAAGTTGGTTATGGGATGAGCAGAGCAGCAATTCTCTGTCTTCTTATTTTGCCCTTGTCCTGATATTCCTTGTCTCCATTTCTACAGACTGACACCCAAGATAGGCTTTCCCTGGAGTGAAATCAGGAACATCTCTTTCAATGACAAGAAATTTGTAATCAAGCCCATTGACAAAAAATCCCCGGTAAGTGACTCCTCTCTCTAGTCAAGATAGGTACATGCCAAGGACTGGGTAATGCTAGGAACAATCATGTCATTGTGTTTTTCTCTCCCTTTTTATGGAATCTCTCTCTCTCTCTCTCTCTCTCTCTCTTCTCTCTCTCTCTCTCTCTCTCTCTCTCTCTCTCTCTCTCTTTTCATTGCTGAAGAGATTTAGGTATTTATGTATGAAATTACAACCTAGGGCCTTCTTACTTCAAAAAGGTTTTAAAGGACTGAGTTTAGATTTGCTTTTAGGATATTACAGAGCAGTCCAGCCACCCATACTGCACTTGCTTGGGTATTATGCAGTGATTATTTAGTCTCTGAGACACAGCAGGATCTCTAATTAGCAGATAAAATCATTTCTGATATTTTCAACTGAATTGAAGGTATTTTAGGATGATTTTCATAATTAAAGGTTGAGATAAATTGTCGCTTGATGGAAAGAGCACCAGTTTCATAATTAAGAATTCTGTATTCTAGTCTTAGTTTTGTCACTAATCTGCCATCTGATCTTGGGCAAGTCACTTAACCAGTCTGATAATTAGTCTTCCTATCTGCAGGATGAGACAATAGGTTTTAAATAATCTTTCCAGTGCTTTTGAACTTAGCTTTTCAGAAGGTAGACATTCAACTTCATCTGTCCTTCTAAACTCTTTCTGGTTGCTGGTTTCCCATCAGGACTTTGTCTTCTATGCTCCCCGGCTGCGGATTAACAAACGAATTTTGGCCCTGTGCATGGGGAATCATGAGCTATACATGCGTCGCCGCAAGCCTGACACAATTGAAGTGCAGCAGATGAAGGCACAGGCCCGGGAGGAGAAGCACCAGAAGCAGATGGAGCGGTAGGTGCTGCAGAGCTGGAGTTGGGGCAAGGGGTAGAACAGGGAAACTTCTCAAAGATGCCAACCCTGCTAAAGATAAAACATGAAACCATCTTGTGACTGGGAGGGCTAGAACAAGAGCTGCACAGGGATAATAACCCCCTCCATTAAATCTTAGGCATCCCCATCACCAGGAAGCAGACATCAAAAGCCTAAAATTTCAAAGTCTCATAGGAGAGAGGACCTTTTAGTAGTTCCCCATTGTCTGTGACTCTCATGCCATTGTTTTCTAGGCTAAATCTGGGTTGTTCTTACTAGGCTGTCTTACCAGGATAGTGGCAGAAGGCCCCAAGCACATTTCAGCCTGTACTTTTTTGTTGTTTCTTTTGGGTCGAATTGGGCTAAGCCACCAAAATTTTCCTTATGAAGGAACCTCAGGAGGCTTCTGATCTAGAAGTCGCTATGCATTTGAGTAGCTTCTTGCTATCCAAAGTGTAGCAAGGCTCAGCAGCATTAGCATCAATGCCCAGCATCACTTGAGAGTTTTTTTAGAAAGGAAGGATCTGATACCCATGTATTATTCTGATTCATAATCTGTATCTTAAGATTTTATGTGATCATTTTTCCAAAGAAGATATGCAGATAGCCAGGAGAAACATGAAAACATCCATACTCATTAATATAGATATAATAATAAAAACAGAAAATAGTAATTGGCAAGAATGTAGAGAAATTGGAACTCATGTACATAGCCAATGGGAATGGAAAATGGTTCACAGAAACTTGGTTCAAATTCAGAAAAAAATTACTGAGACTGGGAGCAGAGCTAGATATGGAAAGGAACCTGTCCTCCATATGAAAAAAAAAATGTTAAACATCTCTTATAATCAGGGAAATGCAAATCAAAACCACATTGAGATACCACTTACACCAGTAAGAATGACACATATTAAAAAAGCTAGCCACAACAAATGTTGGCGAGGATGTGGTGAAAAAGGAACTCTCCTACATTACTGGTGAGAGTGCAAACTGGTCCAACCACTATGGAAAGCTGTCTAGAAGCTCCTCAGTCTACAAAACTGGAGCTATCATATGACCCAGCAATTCCACTCCTAGGGATCTACCCCAAGGACACAAAAACATTAATTGGAAAAAAAAACAAAACAAAACGGTATCCCTATGCTTATTTCAGCACTATTTACAATAGATAAAACCTGGAAACAACCCAAATGCACAAAAATAGATGACTGGATCAAGAAGATATGGTATATATGCACACAATAGAATATTATTCAGCAATCAGAAAAGATAAACTCATGCCATTCACAGCAACGTGGATGGAGCTAGAAGGAATTATGCTCAGTGAAATAAGCCAGAAGCAAAAAGAAAAATATCAAATGGTTTCACTTATAACAGGAATATAGTGGAACCAAACAAGACATCAGTGTAAAAAAAACAATAACAGTACAAAACACAACAAAGCAAAAACAGACAATTGTGAATCAGAGACATACTGCAGGGGAGGAGGAGGGAGAGGGATCAGAGGGAGGGAGGGAGGAGCACATAGGACTGTGGTGATGGTGCACGGGTGCCTTGGGGAAGGAAATTATATGGGGATTACACCTGAAGGGGGGGAAGCAAATATTGTTTAAAAATGAACAATGATGTAAAAAATTAAAAAAAAAAAGGACATTCCCTCAAGGACCTTAAAGTCTTGTGGGTGAAAGAAGAAAAGCATATGTGTATATGTGTGTGTGTGTGTGTGTGTGTAAACATTCAAAGTACAAATAAACATTGAAGGTATAAATGGTATGCCAATCATTCACTCAATATTTATTGAGCAGTTAAAAAAAATCCAAGAGACAGATGGAATAAATAAGACAGTTAATTATACAGTATGTGAGATAGTTAAGTGTTTTGGAAAAAAAAAAAAAACAAGGAGTGCTAGGGAGAAGAATAAGTCAAGTATTTCTAGGGCTCAAAGAGAGAAAGACATCTAGCGAAAGGAAAAAAGAAAGCTTCCTGAAAGAGATGCTAGGGCACAAAAAATTTACTTACTCTAGGTTTGCAACAAATTTTGAGGAAAAGGTGCCTCAGAGGGCAGGTAGAAATAGACCTGTACACTGATGATGTAGCCATAGAAATCATCCAACTTTAAGCACAGTAGCCCATCACAGAGCCAAAGCTTGCCTTACTGTAACTCCACAAGGTGGACAGGGCAGGATTTATTAGGTCATTTAACAGATGGGGTACTAAGAGCAAGAGCAAAGAAGTGACACTGAGTAGTTGACAAACTGGGAGTCCAGGTTGGATCTCCTGACTCTGGCACAACCTGACAAGGCCCTGATCATCCCAGCCCATACAGGGCTATGATATAAGAACAGGGATATAAGGAGATTAGGGAGCATGTTCCCAACTCACAAGGCCTGAGTGTGTTGGATAGATTGAAGCTAAGGTGCCAGAGTCAAAGAGCCTTGCATATTCGAAGGCTTCCATGTGGTTTTGCTATCTTGTTCCATTCCTTCTTGCTCTTTCCTTAGTGCTTTGCTGGAAAATGAGAAGAAGAAGCGTGAGTTGGCAGAAAAGGAGAAGGAGAAGATTGAACGGGAGAAGGAGGAACTGATGGAGAGGTTGAAGCAGATTGAGGAACAGACTAAGAAGGCTCAACAAGGTAAGGTTCAGAGTTAACCTTGGAGATAGGGTTTCCTCAGAGCCTGACTCAGTGAAGCTGGAGACCCTTCTAACCTGCGTTGCAGACTCAGGCCATATAATCCATATATGGTACAGTATAGATGGACAAAGCAAGAAGAATGCCTAGAGCTTTCTGTCAGCTGTGCCCTGGGGTAAAGGAAGTAAGGAAGCTGGGTGTCTGTTCATCTCTGCACGCTTCACCACTCCTCCATCTTCTCTTCCCAGAATTGGAAGAACAGACCCGCAGGGCTCTGGAACTTGAACAAGAGCAGAAGCGTGCCCAGAGTGAAGCTGAAAAACTGGCCAAGGAGCGTCAAGAAGCTGAAGAGGCCAAGGAGGCCCTATTGCAGGCCTCTCGGGACCAGAAGAAGACCCAGGAACAGCTGGTAAAACTACAAAACAGGCTGGGATTGTTAGATCTAAGTTTTCTTCCTTTTGCCTATTCATAGCTACCTCTACCTGCAGTGCTGACTCTTTCTATAAGCCTCCAACAGGTAGCTCATTCAGAATGTGTGAGGGTATATATAAACTATTATATATATAAACTATTGTGACACTTGCACATCTTTTCTATACTCATCCTGGAAAGTCTTAGTGTAACCTAAATCATCTAGGAAAATAGAGAAAGGTTTGCCACTTAGGCAAACCTGAATTGCAGACCCAGGCCATATAATCCATATATGGTACAGAATAGATGGACAAAGCAAGAAGAATGTGCAGGCAGTGACACAGCATTCTCCAAAGCTTTACCAAGGTTTTGATTCTACAGCAGACAAGAGGGAGGAGCAGGGAGGTAAGAAGACAGAGACAGAGTAGCTGGAAGGTGGGAGTGGGAGAGAGGAGGAAGAAAGAGTTCATGTTGTCTTCGGGAGGTTCGCAGTCTAGGTGGAAAGCTCTGACTTGAAATGGTTTGGAATTAATTGGGTGCTATAGAACTTAGAGTAGGAGTGCTCCTCTGGGCATCCTGGAGGAGATGTGGTAAAAAGAGCCTCCAGGACAGCAAGCAAGTAGAGTAACAGGTTCCAAACTTGTTCCTCAGAGGAACTGGCACTGAGGACATGTGGCCCTGAGAACTGAAATCTCATCTCTCATAAGCTTTCAATTTATCTATAGGCCTTGGAAATGGCAGAGCTTACAGCACGGATCTCCCAGCTGGAGATGGCCCGACAGAAGAAGGAGAGTGAGGCTGTGGAATGGCAGCAGAAGGTAAGACGCAGTACCCAGAGAAAAGTCTTATGGGAAGGGGAACTACATGTATAGATTCTAGTTCCTTTGATTCCATAAGTTTTGGGTCTTTTCCTTTCATCCTTCAATAATAGTGGGGAACATGGGGGAAGGAATGTGAGCTTTCTTTAATACTTCTGGAATTTTCCAATACCCCAGGAAATTGGTACAGTTATTCCTATTAGACAGCTGAGGAAACTTAGGATCAGGCAGAAGTGATTTAACTTGCATGGTGCCTGCCTCCTGCTAGGGTTTTCTAGGCACATGTAGGGTATCACATATTAGCCTGGGCTGTTTGCTAATTTTTTCTCCCTTTGTTACTGGATAGGCTCAGATGGCACAAGAGGACTTGGAGAAGACTCGTGCAGAGCTCAAGACGGCAAAGAGTACACCACATGTGGCTGAGCCTGCTGAGAATGAGCAGGATGAACAGGATGAGAATGGGGCAGAGGCCAGTGCTGACCTGCGAGCTGATGCCATGGCCAAGGATCGCAGTGAAGAGGAACGTACAACTGAGGCAGAGAAGAATGAACGTGTGCAGAAGCACCTCAAGGTATCTAGGCAGGGCCAAAGGTATAGGAGACCATGTGAATTGACATAGTAGCTCATGGCCTTCCATAATCATCATGAAGGGGATAGGTAGAGGACTCTGTCTCAGTGCAATATGGGAATCTGAACCTTTCTCAAGTGAGAACTTTCAGGGCAGTTAGCCCTCTTTTATTAAACAGACCCTAGGTCATCTCAATTTTTTGGGGGGGTTCCATTTTCTACCCATTCTCCATTCACCCCTTATATTCAGAAAAATCTTAGCAGACATAATCCCTACTTGAATCTTGTTTGGTGCATCATTCTACTTTTAGAGAAAGTTTGTGGCTTTTGTTTTATCTTTGTCCCACTATAGTCCTAACAGAGCTGGAAATGACTCATGAAAAATGTCTCTATGTGTATGTCTGTGTGTGTTGTAGAACTAGGTGGTGGTGGTGGTGGTAGTGGTAAGAAAGGAATGGATGAAGGGGAGAGAGAGTGAGCTCTGTTAATAAGGGGAGATAAAATGAAAATAAGCCATTAACTCCTTGTCCCTTTGCACCTCTCACAGGCCCTTACTTCAGAGCTGGCCAATGCCCGTGATGAGTCCAAGAAGACTGCCAATGACATGATCCATGCTGAGAACATGCGACTGGGCCGAGACAAATATAAGACCCTGCGCCAGATTCGGCAGGGCAACACCAAGCAGCGCATTGATGAGTTTGAGTCCATGTAATGAACAACAAGCCTTTAGGGACCCCTCCTCCCATCTTCCTTGCCTCCCCCCACTCCTATACTCTCGCCTAACTCACACTGTGTTGGAGCCACTAACTGGAGCAGCCCTGGAGTCATACCAAGCATTCAGTGCAGTAATGGGACCAAGCCTAGCCCCTTACTCACTTCCCTTGGCAGAGAAATGGCCCACTGTGGTGTCAATGGGACCCTCTTTTCACTCTCTGTCCTGTTCAAACTAGCTTTCTAGAAGTGACCACTTCCCAGCTTAGAGGAACTTCCCCTTTAATTTGGGAAACACCCCCACATTTGTTGTTCCATGGGAGTCAGGTATGAAGTTAACCCCTACCACTACTCTTCCACAGCCTTCCTCTTTGGAATCCTTTGGTTTGCAGAGTTGGATCATCACAGGATTTGAGGAAGGAGACAGGGTCGTGGCAGCATACAACCATATGCTGTAGGATGTCCAACTAACCTGGGATTAGGCCTCCTTATGTCCATCCTTTCTAGAGTTATTTAGTCTTTAAAATAATTGGAGGCTAAAAAGATGATCTGTCATTTTTTCTACCTCCCAGATTGGCCTGTTACAAACTTGATTCCAATAAGCCTTATCTCTGAGTTTAGGGACTCAATTTCTCCCCAGGGTGAGGTGGTGGACACAGTGCCTTCAAAGGCTTAACCAACATCCTAGAAAGATATTGGGCCTTCTGTTCATGCAAGGCTGTTTCAGAGATTTTTCCCTAATGCCTTAAGAGAGCCTAGTCCTGTTTCAAGTGAGCTCTATTGGTAGAGGAATCTCTTACTTATTCTGGGGTTCTCCTATCTATGTGATCTGCCCCTTCCAATTCCAGTCGTCACATTCCCTCTAACTACAGCAGTAATGGATGGTTACCCAAAAAGCGAAGCAGGCCCACCCAGGACTCTTGCCAAAGAGAGGTAATCTTCATATCTGATTACATTATTTTCCCTGCCAGAGATCACAGTCCACTCTCCCATTAGAGCTACTTGTGTCTCAGCTTCTGTTTCAAGACCAACCAGGCCTTGATATGGTGAGCCCTAGAGATTGATGCCAGTTATTTCAACTGGGGTGGGGAGTGGGTAGAAGAAGCTGAGCATGGTAAGAGAAGCCCATGGCCATGTTCCCAGTTTACAACTCCCTCAGGTGTCTAATAACCCCTTCCTGTCACCCCTCTGTAAAGTGGTGACTGGACTCTGCTTCTCTTTGACAAACCTCTAACCCAGGTCTTGCCCTCAGCTGTGCTATTCCCTAGAACTGTAGGCCAGAGAGCGTTGGAGACCCTGGCCTGGTCCCATCCACACCCCCATCCCTTGCTCTCAACCCAGATGCAGTCTCTATCTCATGTGTGCTCTTTTTCTTTCCACCAGTATTACGTATTCCAGTGGCATCTAACTCAACATTGATTTTTGCATTTCTTGTTAATTCACCTTTAGAATATATTAGTCTTGGGGCAGGACCATTTTGGCCTCATTCCATACCACTCCCACACCTGGGAAGCATATACTATATTATAAAATAATATTTTGCCAGAAACATTAATATAAGAAGCTTTCAGTATTTCGTGATATCACCTGTCACTATAGGTCGTAACAATCCATCTGTTAAGTATTTGGCTTTTGGTCTTATTGTTTATTTTTTGTTTTCTCCTTTGAGTTCAGTCCCCCAAAGGCCATACTGTCCCTCCATGTAGTGCCACCAGTCCAGAACCCACTGAGTTTGATCCCTCCTATCTTCCCACCCTGCCTGATCTTGGGGAATCTTGTGTGCATTGCTGTGAATTATATTGACACTCTTGGTAATATGCCCTATATTGGCTAAACTCAAACCTGGAATTGTGGGGCAATCTTATTGCTTTAAAGACAGTAATACAAAAACTGGGGAGGCTGGGGAGAAAGGTTAGTTTTTGTATTCAGGGCTTTTTGTGTGTGTGTGTTGTGTGTGTATTTTGGGGGGGTTTTAAAAGTTGTTTTTGGAGGGGTTTATGCTCAACCCATGTTCTGTTTCATTGCCAATAAAACTTAGGAAGACTTCACTATGACTTGAGTTTTCTTTGTGGCATTTTTCTTTCTTTTTTGGGGGGGGGGTGTAAGATACTTCACTGTAATTTCTACTCTAGAGAGTACCTTCCCATCCCAAATTTCTTTTCCTCCTCATTTCAGTCTTGTGGGGAATGGATATAACTATCCTCATTTTTTAAAAATGGTAGAATAATTGTCCAAGGGCCAATGCTTTTTTCCACAGCTACAGACCTTTTCCAGTCATAAGTGGGCCCTGCGTGCACTGACCATGTGATGTCCCTACCCTCACTTGACATCAGTGCTTTGGAGCTGCTTTGTGGTTTGTATTTTTGGAGTGGCCATGCCTCGTCCTGCCTCCTTGTCAGGAAGACCTCTACAAATTTGTCTCACCTCTTACCTCACTCATCACAGTGGCAATGAAGGTCAGAGAAATCACCTTGAGCCCTGTTTCAAAATGAAGGTAACAGAATATGGGTTGAGGATAGAGGATATATGAATATACAAAAGCCACTGAGTGGTCCTTTATGGTTTATAAAACATATCAATTTTGTGGTCTAGATATAGTTATCTTCATTTAATAGAGGTGAAAACAGACCCAGGTTATCATTCTAGGTTGTTTGAGACCTGGCATATTCTTACAGCTCCCTTTTGGGTGAGTCAATACTTACAGGGAAAAGTAATTTATATATTATTCTGTGAATTTTAAACCTTTGTAACAATGCTTTGAGGTAGTGGGTCCCAAACTGCACATTGGAATCTTAAAGATCCCAAAGCCTAGAACACTTCTGCAGATCAAATTATAATCTCTTGTAGTGGGACACAGTCATCAGTATATTTGATGATTCCAATGGGCAGACATTTTTGGGAACCACTGTTCTAAAGGCATACTGCTTCATCCCATTTTACAGATGGAAAAACTGAGGCCCAGAAAATTAATTAATTTGTCTAAAGTAACAAAGATTAGAAGTAGTATGCCAGAACACGAACACAGGCAATGTAGTTAATGAGCCTGTGATCTCAACTACTACACTATTCAATTCCTACCAAGGATCTGCAGGAAGGCAGACATGTATAGAGAAGACATAGTTGCATAGCTTCAATTCCAAGGTATAAAATAGAATTCTAGAATACTAGAACATCAGTGTAGGAGGTGGGATCTTAGGAATTCCCAAGTGATTTTACCTTGGAGAATAAAGGAGCTCTAGGTCCCCACCAAACTCAACCAGAGGGTGTCTGCTTTTGCATATTTTGTATGTTGAGCTGTTTATGTGTAAATAGATTACTTTTTTAAAAAGACAGGTGGACTTCTAGGAAGGCAGATGAGATAAGCAGAATAATGACCCACAATGATGTCCATGTTCTGATACATGGAACCTGTGAATATATTATCATACACGGCAAACAAATACTTGGGGATATATTTAAATTAAGGATTTTAAGATAAGATCATTCAGGATTATCCAGGTGGTCCCAATCTAATCACAAGGGTCTTTAAAAGATAGAAGTAGGTCAAATTCAGAGAGAGTTGAAGATATACTGTTGGTTTTGAAGATGGAGGGAGAGGCCACAAGTCCATGAATGCAGGTGGCCTCTACAGACTGGAAAAACAGATTCTTCCCTAGAACCTCCAGAAAGAACACGGCTCTGCTGACATCTTGGTTTCAGCCCAGTGAATCCCATTTTCAATGTCTACCTGAACTCCAGAACGTTACATACTGTAATTCATTCATGTTGTTTTAAGCCATTAAAACACTCTTACCCACTCCTCAAAATTTCCCTGTCTTGAAATGGCAATATTACAGAAATGTAGAACAAAATAGGTGGCCTGTTGTTGAAGAATAAAGAGTAGGGAAGCCATATGAGAAATAGGTATGGCTTTATTAGAACAACATGAGAGATGCTTATGGTGCTGTTCTACCTTGACTAAATCAAAGTCAGTATCATAATTGTGATATTATAGTTTATAAGACATCGAGGGAATCTTAGTAAAGAGTACATGGGATCTCTGTACTATTTCTTATAACTGCATGTGATTCTACAATGATGTCAATAAAAAGATGAAATTTTTGAAAAGGGCATGGTGATACTCCTAGGTATATATTCAAGAGCAATAAGTGCTTTTGTCCACCTAAAGACATAGCAGTGCTATTTGCAATCTGGAAACAACCCAAATACCATCAATTAAAGAATAGACAAAATTATGGTGCATTAATACAGTGGCATATTGCTCAGTGATAGAATGAATTACTGATGTATACAACAATATGGATTAATCTCAGTCATTGTGTTGCACTAAAAGGGGAAGACACAAAAAATAATAATTCCATTTTTATGAAGTCAAAGAATAGGCATAGTTGGCTGCGACTGGGATAGGAGGAATTTACTAGAAAGGGGCACAAGGAAAACTTGGACTGGTGGAAATATGGTTGGCTTGGGTAATGACTATAGGGTATAAATATAAAAATACATCAAGTTGTACATATATACCAACTCAATGAAAAAATAAAAAACTTGCAAAAGTTTGAAAATCCTATAATGATGATTCTCAAAGTGTGTATCAGAGTTACTTTGTGGGTTTCTTAAAACATTACTGGGCTCCACCTCCAGAGACTGATTCAGTAGGTCTGAAGTAGAGCCTGATAATTTGCATCTCTAATAAGTCCCCACGGGGTTCTGATGCTCCATTCCAGGGACTACACTTGCAGAGTCATTGAGGTAGAACCTAGAGTAGATGGACACCTTCCTGGTACAAATGGAGTCTTAGAGAAAGAGGGGAAATGTCTAAGGTCACACAAACAGTTGGGTAAATTTAAGTCTATAACTTGATACTTTTCCATAGGCCTTCAAGTCCTGGGTCAGGCCTCTGCCATCCAAGAAAGATACATGGCCTGCTTTCCTATATACTTAATTTTAATTTATGAGTAGAAAGGGACCAGAGAAATTCCTGAATTCAATCCTTTCCAATTTATAGAGTAGGAAACTGAGGCCTGAGAATTAAAGGCAATTGCTCTCAATTCCAGTGGCAGGGCTTAGCTTTGAACTATGTTCTGCCTCTGCCCCAGACCTTTATATAGTCTATTATAGTACAACTTTTTTGTCTCTGCTGCCTTATATTCAGTCTTCTTCCTAGAGAAAGCCCCCACCCCTGACCCCGCCGCCACCACCACCACCACCACCACCACCAAAACACACTACATATATATATCTGCACAGGTCACAATTCTTGAAATCTTCAGTCAATATCATAAGGAAACAAGCCATGCTACTCCTAGTCCCTTTGTAGACCTGAAATGGAAGGCCCAATTTTTCCTCTACAGCATATTTTCTCTCTAAGAACATCTTTTTCCATCCTTAGCATAGGGCTTGTTCATGGTGCTTCACAAATTTAAGTATCTTCCACTATTCATCATCACCTATGTGCCCCCTGTAACTTTATTATTTTTAAAAAAAGATTTATTTATTTATTTATACAAGTGCTGGGTACAGTTAGAAGCGTGGGAGGGTGAGAGAATTCACCAGAGCCAGAGCGGGGAACAGAACAGGTAGAGTGATGAAATAACACTGCTGAGGGGAGCAACGGGTGCTGCAGGAGAGGTCTGTAGCGCCATGTGGGACCCTCACTGGCGGCCGGGGATTGAACCGGTGCTGCAGAGGCTGCAGGCAGCTTTGCAGCCCAGTGCTCAACTGCTGTGCCACCAGGGGAGGCCTGTCCCTGTAACTTTAGATCCTAAGCACATCTCAGACTTGCTCATGCCTACCTACCTTTGTAAAAACAATTATAACTAACATTAACCAAGCACTCTATGCCAGACACTGTTCAATGTGCTTTACAGTTATATTATCTTCACAAAATATTTGAGACTATGACAAGAGGGAAAAATCATAGCAAGAAATAGAGAGGATAAGTAACTTGCCCAAAGTAGCACAGCTTCGAGTGACAAGAGGCAACAGTTGAATGGTCCTTGCAGCCTCAAACTCTAATGTCTAATAAGAAAGTACACTCTCTCCACTCCAACCTTCTCATCCTCTTATATCCCCTTGCTATTTTGTGGCATTGCTATCTAATCATTCTCCCCAAATAACCTGAATTATTTTTCCTTGAGAATTCCTTCTCCCACACCCTGCCCGTTCTCAATCCTGTTTTCTATTCTGCACCCTAAATAGATTTATATTATGCTAATTGTTATTATTTTCATTTTACAATAAAAACAATAGCTGTGCTTTCAGAAAAAGAGAAAAAAAATAAAAATCACAGACATCTACTAACAACATTTCAAAGTAAGGTTTTTGAAAGATTTACTGAAAAAATAATTGCAGCCTAAACTTAGTCATCATTTTTTTTTTCAATTGCTTTTAAACATATCCTAGCCCAGTGCAAGTTTGGAGAAACCATGAACAATGGAAGCCCCACCAACGGTGAGGATTTCAAAGCAAAGATAATAATAATAAATTCAAAATGTTGAGAAGGAAAACTATAGCAAATAGCAGCATGTGTTTGTAAGGGAATACTATACCAGAGAAGGAGAAAAAATCTCTAAAATCCAATAACAAAGACAGGGAAGATATGTTCTTCCTATCAGAGAATTCAAAATTGCCAAGATAAAAAGTTCAAATAAATGGAAGGAAATTCAGAAAAAAAAAAAAAAACAAATGTACTGAGAAAAATCAAAGAAAGAATATCTGAATTGAAGATTTAAATAATAAAACAATGGAAACGGAGGGAAAAAATGCAATGGAGGAGATAAAAAAAAAAAGCAAGAGAAAGCTATGTAAGTAGGATAGACCTGATGGAAGAATGACACCATTGAACTTGAAGATACAAATGAACAAAGAATATGGATAGAAAAAGAAAGAAATAAAGTTAAAAAAAATAAAGAAACACTTTGAGAATTATCTGACTCCATGAGAAAAGGCAATATAAAAACAATAGTTATACCAGTCTAGGATGAAAGAGAGAATGGTAAAGAATACATATTTAAGGGAATGATATAGGAAAGCTTCCTGAACCTGGAGAAGGGACTAAATATACAAAT